TTTAAAGTCTGTGCGCACAGAAAGAACCAAGCAGAAATTTCTATTTGGAACAACAAGGTGGATCTGCTTGCAAAAGAAGCTGCAATGTTGGGACCTGAAAGCCTGTAGGATAAATCCAATGATATAATTTGTAAGGTCCAGTCATCGGATGTGAACATCCAGCCAGATCTTGTAGAGCTGCAACAATAAGACCCAGAAATTAAAGATTTATTAAAGAAGTCTGTGCATTGTGGCTCTGTGATATCTAAACACAGCAGAGTATTGATCATAGCAACTAAAAAGATTCACAGTTCTCATCATTCCAACCTTTCTTAGAAAGGAGCTAATTACTCTGGCACATCAGCAAGGACATTTTGGTACTAACAAGACTGTCAGTTGAATATTGACAGTGGATTGGTGGCCTAACCAAAAGATACCATAGACAAATATGTATGGAACTGTATTCCATGTGATGAGAACAATCCAGACAGAAGTACTGTTAAAGGCCCAATGTTCCATCAAACGATAGAGGGACCCTGGTACCATCTCCAAATAGATTTTATAGGTCTTCTGCCCTGTACTAGAGCTGGTAAGCGATACTGCCTTGTGGTAGTCGATTCATTCTCGAAATGGATCGAAGACTATCCAGTCAGAAATAACACTGCTGCCACTACAGCCAAAACATTGCTGGAGCAAACCTTCTCTCGATTCGGTTTGCCAGAGGTAGTTGATTCTGACCAAGGACCCCACTTTGTGGGAGAAGTGTTCCGGTGTCTGTCCCAAGTCCTGCAAATCAAACAAAAGTTCCACATAGTGGGCCATCCGCAAAGCTCCAGGTTGGTGGAAAGGAGCAACCACCTGTTGAAGACTGCATTGTGAAAAATCATATCCACCAATGGTAAAAACTGGGTTAAGCAGTTGCCATTTGTACTGATGCTGATACGATCTACCGTTGCAACCCACGGATACACACTGCACAAGGTTCTCACTGGAAGAACTATGAGAACCCCTAAGAAATGGTGGTTAGGAGGCATTCCCCCGATGCATACCAACTTAGGGTTCAGATGGACCAATATACGGAAAAGTTGCTTAATAGCATCAGCAATGCTCACAAGGAAGTAGCTGTGCAACGTAAGTTAAATGCTAGGCAAATGGACAAGTGATTGGGTAACACCTTAAAAGTAACTGAGTGGGATGTGGGAGACTGTTTTGTACAGGTTTTTCTCAGAAAAAAGATCACTTCCTTAGCCCTAAATGGGTAGGTCCTATCCCCGTTGTAAATAAGGCCAACTCTACCATCTACCAGGTGGAAATATGTGGAAAGAAGGGAAAGAAAAACCTCAAATAGTTTCACTCCACCCAGCTTATGGAGTGGAAAGGGGTCAACAATTAAGAGCCCATGGTAACTACCGATTTGTCTTCTCTCATTTGTTACAGGTAGACATTCAACAATCGCCTATGGTTCTATATTATGAGGTAACATGTCTCTCTACAGAATTGCTATCTGTCTTGGTTTAACTGTTAACACTTGTAAATATGTATAGTCCTTTAGTTGTAAACAAATGACACCATTATTTTTGTAATTTGGGGAAGGATATGTTAAATGATTATGCAAAAAGGGAACCTTCAAACCATGGAAGGTTATTTCAAAGTCTTTCAGTATTTGTTGATAGTGGACCATTCATGATCTTCACTTATAAAAATGGAGCTAATTGTGTAATATCAGTGAAGGAAGTATTAGGTAGCACAAGCTCTCTGGCTACCAGTCCTTTCACAGATTCACAGTCAGACTCCTCCTTGCGTGTAGTAAAACCCCCAAACAGCTGCAGATGGAAGTTCCTTAGCAACCATTTTAACAATTGCACTGGAGGGCTTGTAACAAAAAGTGCCTTAAAGTGTATATGTATGAGGTCTAACCTAAAATCTCACATAAGGGTGGGAACTATTCAAATTGACATCTTTGCTAACGTTCAATCTTATGTGGCATCCATTCCTGTTAGATTACACACTCCTTCTAAGGCATATGCAACATGGTTAAGTTGCAGTAGTGATAACAAACCATATTGTAATGCCTCCTTCAGTGTTAACAATTTTTGTTATGCGAGTTCCATTAATTTTGTGGCTAGCTGTTATGGCCAACTTAATATATCTGTATATGTAAATGATTCTGGCATAAAACAAAAGATGGAAATATTGGTGCTCTCTGAGCCATATAAAAGTTCCTTAGGATTCGTTGTGGTTAAAAAAGACCTCAAAAGCCTTGTCATTATTAACCCAAGTTATTCTACCAAAAGGGTATTAGTAGATCTGCAAACCAGCATTAGCAGCGTGGAACCCAAATGTATCCCATATATAAAATTTCAATTTATGGGTTGGCATGCTTGGCTTAGCACTGTTGCTCCTACAGGCCTAAAATTCTGTAGAAGATCTAGTGTCCAAGGTACTTCGAGGTGTGTGTACCGGCTTAGGTGTGGCCAATCTAGCCAATGTCGGTAACCTTGCAAAGAAAATTAGTAATATAGGGTACAACTTATCAACACTTCAACAGCCGTTGGTCTCTTCACTTAATAAAATCAGAGAACTAACATACAGAGCCACATCAGTCATGTCCTCGTGGTATTCAATTCAAGAGAAGGACCTGGTCCAAATAGTGTACTCCGGGAGGAAACTGCAGATCCGTGCATCATGAGCCATCACATGTGCCCAAGCCCAAACCTGGATACAGCGCATATCCAGTGGTATCATCATGGCTGGATATCAAGATAAAATCCCATGGGAAATAAAAGGTATGATGATGAGGGAGGTGTCTCCCTTTGAACGGGAACACCATTCCTGATGGAAGCTACTAAGCTTTGAAATGGAATCTACTACAGTAGTTGCTCATGTTATGACCATCATCAATGCTATCACAACTTGGGTTTATCCTCTGATACCTCTAGGCTTAATTATAAATCATACAATCATGACACTCCTGGATATACCTAGTTTGGTGATGGAAAGAAATAATCAACATTTTGATGCAAATCTAGGCTCATATATCTGGGAGACAAATAATGGCTATATTTGTAATGTAGAACTACATTCAGGTATGCACATCTGTATGAACGCCAATAAGGATAAATGCCATTACTCTGTACGCTCCAGACTGGGTAACTAGTCTCAAATAATTGTCATGTATAAGAAGTATGGGGACAGAATTCACTGTGAACTTCTTATATAAGGTTATTCATTTATGCTTGTGCCTTGTTTTATCGATATCTGGATGCAAAATAAATGTATCTGAAAAGTTAACAATGCAGAATGTAAAATTTGCATATGCATTGTGTCGTCATGTGGACCCCATCCACTTAGGAGTTAACATCTCCGCCCGTAAGCAGATGGTTCAGCATCCGGATCTGGTTGCTAAGCTATGGGACTGGAAAAAAGATGGTAAAGAAATAATGCTAGCAGTCCACCACTCAACTAATCAAATAGAGCAGATATTGGATAGGGTTCTGAAAGCTTCCCGGTTTAATCATTGGTGGGAGACTTTGTTTTCTAGTCCAGCTGAATTATCCAATGCATGGCACATTTTATTACATCAGTTTATAATATTGCTAATTTTACAGGGTCTCACTTTTGTTCTCATTATTATTATTACAGTAAATTGGTTCATATGTAAGCTTAAAAAGGTTGCTACTCACTCCAGGATGAAACACCTACCTTGGATTCAATGCAAATTTAAGGCAATAATATGGATCCCTAAGGATATCCTATTGTCAAGGAGAGAATTGTTGAGGGTGTTTAGCCATATTTGTTTTTACTTTGCTGTTTGCCCTCCGTGTTTGTTTCCTTCTCCTCCAATTAGTTTGGCGCTGTAATGGTTTGGGTCACAGAAACCCCCTTGGAAACTGCCACCTGATGTGCTGGGACTACCTCTGAGCCCGTTTTCCCTGGCAGCTTGGGACTTCAGTACCTTGCCTTGTTGAGCCAGACTTGTTAGTCTGCTGCAACACAGACTCAGGTCTGGTCCACGCACCAAAAGCTGCAGACTTTAACCAAAAACTGCTCAGCAGGTCACCTATTTCCAGCACCCAGACACCCAGTTCCCAATGGGATCCAAACCCTAAATAAATCAGTTTTATTCTGTATAAAGCTTATACAGGGTAAACTCATAAATTGTTCACCCTCTATGACACTGATAGAGAGATATACACAGCTGTTTGCTCCCTCAGGTATTAATACTTACTCTGGGTTAATTAATACATAAAAAATGATTTTATGAAATACAACAAGTAGGATTTAAGTGGTTACAAGTAATAACAGACAGAACAAAGTAAATTGCCAAGCAAAATAAAACAAAACTCGCAAGTCTAAGCCTAATACAGTAGGAAACTAAATGCAGGTAAATCGCACCCTCAGAGATGTTCCAATAAGCTTCTTTGACAGACTAGACTCCTTCTAGTCTGGGTCCAGCAATCAATTACACACCCCTGTAGTTACTGTCCTTTGTTCCAGTTTCTTTCAGGAGTCCTTTGGGGTGGAGAGACTATATCTTGGTCCAGCTGAAGACAAAATGGAGGGGTTTCCAGGAGCTTAAATAGACTTTTTTCTTGTGGGTGGAAACCCCTTCTCCTCTCCTATGCAGAATTCAGCTACAAGATGGAGTTTTGGAGTCACATTGGCAAGTCACATGTCCATGCATGACTCAGTTCTCTCCAGGATGTTCCCCAGGAAATCTCAGACGTGGATTGGCATCTATCAAGGTCCATTGTTAGCCAAGTACTCCCAATTACTTGAATAACCCCTTCACATTATGTTGACCAAATCTGCCTTAGATGCTTTCTACCGCAAACACTTTAAATACAAGCATAGAGCCAACGCTCATAACTTCAGATATTAAAATGATACGTGCATACAAATAGAATGAATACATGCAGAAGAACACAACCTTTGCAAAGATATGTTACATGGCATATCTAGCATAAAACATATTCCAGTTATGTCATATTTACACTTATAAGCATATTTCTATAAAGCATTATGGGGTGCAACATCACAGGCACCCTTTTTGTAGTATGATTTTTCTAATTGGTTGCCCTGTGGGCTTAATTTACCTGGTAACCCTCAAAGGCGGGAAAGGATCACCTGAACTCAGGCTGATCTGCCCGGAGATAACCAGTCTATTTAAGGGGAAGTCACCCTCCCCTTAGTGTTGTCCTCCCTAGAGGCAGCTTGTGTTTGTTTGGTTTGTGTGGTCTGCGAGAGGCAAGAGGACCATCGAAGCCGAGGAAAGCAGAAGATCACCGTCATCTGTATTTTACCTAGATCAACTCCATCTTCCCAGAGGACCCAAGTTCCTCCTGTGGTTCCATTCCACCAGGCACCATGGTAGAAGGTCCGGATCTGGAGAGAGACAGAAGCAACCCTTAAACAGCACACCATACCACCTGGGTTCCTGTCCTTCAAAACAGTAATGTTAACTCCTGTTGTTTTTATGCCCATAGTTTTGTAAAGGGGGTTTGTGGATCTTGGCTTTAGGCCCATTGTGGGGATAAACCACCGAGCTATTTCATTCTGTTTACCTTGCTTCCCCTCCCTAGTTTTTTAACTCATCCCTTAATAAACCCCTTACTTGTTTACATCCTTATCTTCATCTTCCTCTTTTATTTCAAAGTGATCCTGGATGATAGATGCCAGTGGGGTAAAGAATCTACCTAAAGGGCACCAAAAGAGCAATAAGTGCAATTTCCATGAGAAGCAAATGACTACAAGTAACAACATTTTTAAGTGCAACCACCGTAGTCACCCTTCATTGAGGTTATGGGTTAATGATTCCAGTCTGATAAATTTCAACTGCCAAGAGGCAAACGTGTCCAATATGTCTATTGTTAAATCCTAACAATTGCAATATATTCAGTAAATTCAGGGATTTACATTTAACTATAAGCAATACAAAATGTTGCTAGTACCTTTGAGTCATCTTGATAAATCTGTTCCTGCCTGGCTTCAGTTGGTCCAGCAATTTGCATTTTAATATGGGTATAAATTCAGCTACACAGAGGTTATTTTGCAAAAGTTAATGGCAAAGGACGATGTAGGACTCAGTCTTCCCTCAGAGAATATTGCCAAGGTAACTTCAGGGAATCCAAACGTCGGAGAAATAAATAATAAATCTTCTTCGAGTGATTGTCCACACTGATTCCATTCTTGGTGTACATTCGCCCCATGCTTGCAAGATTGGACTCTTCGAAATAGCACTGTCCTTTGGGGCTGCACTTGAACCCTGGGAGGCCTCACAGCCATTGTAAAGGGTTAAGGGGAGGGGTGGCCCCAACAACTTCTCAGTTCTTTCTTATTGCCGGAGATTCCAGGACAGAACCTTGTTTCATCATGTATCTTCACCTACTGAAAGTTTAGTTTGAGTTATTGTTATTTTAGTAGTTTGTTACAGATGCTAGATAAGTTCAGTTTAAGCCCGTTGCTTTAAAAAATATTTTTAACAGATATTTAGATTCAGGGAACTGAATGCTCCTCACCCTATATAAGGGCTAGAACCCCCTGCACACAGACCTAAAATGGCCAAAGGCAAATCTCCATGATTTAAGATCTGCCCCTCTTGCGATACACTGCCCATCAATGACAGCAATTCAAAGTGCCTCTTATACTTAGGAAAGGGGCATGTGCCTGACCGTTGTTCAATGTGCAAGATGTTCTGAAATTACACTCTGAAGGGTAGAGAAGGGAGAATGAAGCTTCATTTCCTGGAGACATCTATGCAAGCATCATATGATCCTGACAAACAACCAGCCAGTCACACTCCTCTTGTGCCTTGAACTGTGGTGTCATCCTGAGCTCAAGGGACAATTAGAAGACTTGTGCCCCTCTTCTCCACCTTCAACGCAGGAGAGAGGCCA